TAGCTGTGATTACACTCTTTTTCCTGTTCGGGATCAACGGAAACGCGCGCGTTCCGCGCGCGTTTGTGTATCATGAACGTAGAACGTCGAGGTGAACAATACAGATTATATTCCGACCATATAATCTACAGTAAAATTCTTTTTCTTTTTACGATAATTCGCTCTTTAAACAGCTTGTAACAGATTCTGTTTTTTTTTTTCTTTTTTTTTTTTTTCTTTTTCTTTTATTTATTTATATTGTATGTATATTTATATACATGCGTGCGTAATATTTATATCAGAATACCCGTCTGTTTGAAGGGGGAAAAAAAAAAACTCGTAACCGCAATCTCACGCGATAATACACGATCATCGTACGCGTCGGGAAGCGATGAATCGTGACCGTCCCTTTCCGCCTTACGAAATTCGTACGAAGGTGAACGAGGTGTCGTATCGCGCTATCCGCTTACAATTATTTAGCCGGTCTACTCGACTCACGGCTAAATTTTCGTCACGATGCTCGAATTGCAAACACGTTGGAACGCCTTACACAGTTTGATAATTTTCTTTTTTTAATTCCTCCTCCGCTCATCTGCCTCACGTATGTCGTATCTTATCCCGCCTCGCCTCGCCTCGTCCCACTGGCCCACTGACATTACATCCTCGATACTTTTCTAAATCTAATCTCGACGAATGGCATTACGTATCAAGATATCTTTCGACGATTCATTCGCTTCTTAAGTACTCTTACGTAAATATATGTAATATGCGCGGAAAATGTAATTAGCTTAATAGTGCGATTCAATCTTCCAAATTGATTTTACCGTTTTCGTGTTAACAGAGCGCAGCGTCCCCTCGTCGCACGCGGTAAAAATAAAACTCGATGGATGAAAAGAAAGAGAGGCTCGCTTTGCTTATCGGAGAGATCGAGCACGAAATCCACGCGAAATCTTCGTTGCGTTCTTCCGCGTCCCCCCACCCCCCCCTCCCATAATCGAATTGAAAATATTTACGATTCGTTTGATCTCGTTTCATAGAGCACAATATGCAATATACACGGTCTCTCGATAACGTGCTTCTCTTAAAAAAAAAAATGTTTCCCCTCCTCCTTTCGTTTTACTTCTTCTCCGTGTCCGATAAGCTTTGATCAGTGTATGTAATGTAACGAGACAATATGATGAAAGAAATAACGACAGGACGAAAAATATATAGCGACGAGTCGTTTTTCTGACGTTATTATGGCACTAAATACGAAGATATCGTTTTATATATCGAGGAAGAATAAACTTACGCTATCACCCGTTTCTTCTTCTATTATTCCCAATATTTTGCTACTTTCCAGTGGAAAGAAAGCGGAGAGAAATCTAAAACTAATCGCACAACGTTTGACAACAAGATTGACGCGCCATTCTTTGACAATTATTGATCAAGGAGGGAAGAGGGGTCGAGGGAACCCGAAAGAAGCAGAGAGAAATTCTAATGCAGAATGTATCGAGATGACGAGACGGAACAGCGAACAGTGTTGTTCTCGATTCGTTCTCAATCGAGCCGATACGCGGCAGCGTAGCAAAACACGAACAGAGGCGGAGGTTAATGCAGCG